AGCCTGGTCATAGTGAGGCCTGCTGCACAGACAGATGTACACCAGATCTTGCAGAAGAAGCTTTTGTCCAGATGTCCACTCTGTGTGTCTGGAAGTTATTGCTCTTGCTCTCTCACTCTGAATGGATAGTTCTGGAATTAGAATATGACTCTGGAAATCTTATTTGGTGAAAGTGTGTGTGTGGGGGGAGGGTCTGAGCCAAAACAGCTGATTTTACATTCCTGTATCTAAAATTAGGTCTCTCCTCTCTTCTTTCTCCCTGTCTTCTTTCTCTCAGCTGTATAGATTCATGGTTTGAAGTGAACAGATCTTGCCCAGAGCATCCTTCTGATTGACCTGCCAGGCATGCTTGCTGACTTCTCTCTAAGGTAAGTCTTCCTTTATAATATGAGGATCCTCAGCACCCTTCTGTGTTGAAGGGGACATATAAAGGGATTTTAAGGAAGTTAGGCCAACTAGTCTACCTGTAAGTCCCTATAAAGATACAGGAACAAAACTCCATTTGCTAAGTACTTAGAAGACAAGTAACTGACAAAATGGGTTTGTCAAGAACAAGTCATATTAAACTAAGCTAACTCCCTTTAGGACAGAATAATGAGCCTTATGGATAAGGAAAAATAGACAATACAATGCATGCTGTCCTGAGCGACACTTTCTTATGCAAAGTAAAGAGGTGTGATCTAGAGGAAACTTCTAACCGCAATGGATTGGGGAAAAAAAACACTCTAGTTACCAAAGGCTAACTCTTAACCTGGAAAGATATAGCAAATAGGGTTCCAGAGGCACTGGTCCTGGACCTTGTACTAGTCCATATTTTTATTAGTGACCTGAGTGATGCACTGGTGATTATGTTTAGTCACTTTGCAGGTGGTACTAAGCTGGGAGGGGCTGTGTGCACTCTGGAGAACAGGTAACTTTGATATTTGACCTTTCAAAAATAGTCTGAAATTAAATTAAATTCCATTGGGAGAAGTGCAGAGTGCTTATGCACAAATAGAAGAGGAGGAATGGCTGGCCAGGCAGCAGTTTGGTAGAGAAGTATCAGAAGGTAATACTAGATCTCAAACTGAATG